TGAATATTACCATTATGTATACGTAAAATGCACCAACAAACAATTTAAAAAATAAAATTAAGAAAATTAAAGATAAGGGGCTGGGGATTTAGCTCAGCAGCATAAGCGCCTTCCTTGTAAGTGTGCAGTCATGAGTTCCATCCCTGGTACCGATAAAAATGAAAAAGACAAAAAAAAATTTAAATTAAATTAAATTAAAGATAAGTAACCCAACAGATATAAAAAAAGATGATGCAAGTGAATACACAAGTGATTGTATTTATCTCATTCTAGTCATTAAGCTAACTTGCTGACTTAAGAAATTTCCAGAAACCAGTCATCGTGGCACACACCTGTAATCCTAGCACTGGGAGGCTGTAGGAGGATCACTGCAAAGTCAAGACCAATCTGGGGGCTGGGGATTTAGCTCAGTGACCTAAAAGCCTGCCTGGCAAGTGCAAGGTCATGAGTTCAATCCCAGGTACCAAAAAAAAAAAAAAAAAAAACCAATCTGGACTACAAAGTAAGCTCAAGGCTAGCCTAAACTACATAGCAAGACCCTATTTCAAAAAGACCAAAAAATAAAATAAAATAAATCAGAATTTTAATTCTCTCTATGGTCAGAGATGGTGGCACAGGCCTGTAATCCCAATAGGATGATTACTTCAAGCTCTAGGCCAGCCTGGGCTACCAGGTGAATTCAAGACCTGCACAGTGAAACCCTGCCTCAAAAAGACCAAAAAAGAAAAAAAGAAAAAGAACTTTAATTTTCTCTATAAAAATACCTTGAAAATAGCCAAAAATAAATGACAGTGAATACCAAGTTCAAAATTTACAACATTTTAGAGAAATGTTAAGTGATCATACTTTAGAGAATACTTTTGCAGAAGTATCTTTGACAAATGCACATTCATCCTTAGCCAAGTATGTTTCAACAAAAAGTTACATTTATTCATTTACTTATTTACTTATTTATTGGTACTGGGGATCAAACTCACGACCTTGAACTTGCCAGGCAGGGGCTGTGCCAGCTCCAGCCCAATCACCATCTTTTAAAAAGAAAACAATAAATCAAAATAGTAAGTGCTTATGATATCTACAACTAGCAAGAATGAATCGTAAATCATACCAATTAAAATCTACAACTGTTATGTCATGGATAAAAATTATATACATGGCAGAAGTTAAACTAAGGTTCCATTTTAATAGCTAGGCAAAGTGTCATACCTAATCAGCAACAAAGCTAGAATAATCCAAAAAAGCTTCACTGCAGGTAACTACTAGGCTTATATAATACAGCATCTTTCTTCAAGAAATACAGATTTCTTAACATGTTTGGCCTTAGCCAGGTGTGGCTGTACAAGCCTGTCATCCTAGCACTTGGACACTAAGGCAGTAGAATTGTAACTTCAAGGCCAATCTTTGCTACACGGTAAAACCCCGTCTCAAAAATCAAAAAATGTTTGGCACTTAATATTCACAATATTGTGTATTGGCATTACACAATAATATTCACAACTGTAGGTACACATTTTATTTCCAGGATTCATATTGTATTGTGTACTATTAGTTTGTGGTGGATGTGGGAGTTTTTCTGCTTTTTTATTTGTTTTTTGGTGATGCTGGAGATGGAACCAAGGATCTTGCAGAAGCCAGGCAAGCACTCATCACTGAGCCATAGTCCAATCCTAGATTTATTTTAAATCAGGCAATTTTCAAGTTAAAAAAGAAAACAAAAACGGTAACAGCTGTATTGTATAAGACGTAAGAACAATGGCAAAAAATTTTTACTTCAAACATAATTCTCTTTTCAAAGTAGATAAAAATGGGGCTGGGGATTTAGCTCAGCGGCGTAAGCGCCTACCTTGCAAGTGCGCGTGGTTGTTGAGTTCAATCCCTGGTATCAGTAAAAAAAAAAAAAAAAGTAGATAAAAACATGTTACCTTCATAATGAAACATTTTCATAACATCTCAGGGCAAGTTAAAATCTCAGTCTAGGAATGTAGCTGTGTAGTAAAGCATTTGCCTAGCATACAGAAGATCCTGAAAAGACACACAAGGGCATGTGCAAGCGCGCGCGCGCGCGCGCACACACACACACACACACACACACACACATCATTTGGTCAGCTTAGTTTTGTTTTGTTTTTTGTCTTTTTGAGACAAACTCTTCACGATGCAGTTCTGACTAATATTAAGCTCACTTTGTATTCCAAGCTGGACTCAAACTCCCAAAATTCCTCCTGCCTCAGCCTCCTGAGTGTTGGGATTATAGGTGTGTGCCACCATGTCTAGCTCGGTCAGCTTATCTTAAAACCCACAGAGCTTCAAGTCTGTGGCAAAACGTGTATGACTCACTGACGTAGAACTCAATAACTCAATGGGAAGAACTGGAAAATTTACTCTAAGATTTTGTTTTGAGTTTTTTTTTATAAAGACATCTTTACCTTAATGCTGACAACTTGTACAGTGTTTACAATTTATTTATTAAAAGGACAAATGGTGAACAATATGAACCACCTATAAGCAAGTCTTAATTTTTTCCTAGAAATCTAAAAAGCCATAAAATAGAATCATGTACACATATACACACACAATAAAGATGGTGAAAACATTATGCTTTAATATAATGTAGACAATGCAAAATGGATGTTCTAAACTAGAAAAATTATAAGATATTGATTTTTCCTTCCCAAAATATCTTCAAACGTTTTATACTAGTTATTTTACCTGAAATATTTATACAACAGAAATTTTAAATGTCAAATAATCCTACAAAAATGTTTTTGTTCTCATGAAAAGTTTGAAAACATAGCATGAAAATTTTTAAAAAGCTGACCTCCAAATTAAACAGAAGATTCTATCACATTTATGGAAATATATAGTGCTCTCTTAAACTCTTGATCACTGAAAAATCATCATTCTGTGTTTTTGTAACTACAAATAGTAGAGATGGGGAAATGTCATACATACAACACAGTGAATTATTCCCAACCCACTCATCCTCACCATACTAACACTTCTACATTTTAATCATTTTAAGAGAAAAATGTAAAAATAGATCATAAATTGACACTCATAAGGTTTATCAGAATATTTACCACATAAATTCAAAATTCTTTTAAAATTGTCTACTCTTATGAATGCATGATACAGGACATTAAAGTGACCTACTCTCTAAGTGGTACCTTACAAAAAGGTCTCTTTCAAAGGGCAACACAAGAGAAAAAGTCTATATAGTGCCTTTAGTGCAAATTATTGTTCCCTCATTTTTGATGTTCATTATTTAAAAATGAAAAATAAAATTGAAAAATAGATGACTGTTTTACTACAAACTAAAGACCCATTTGTGGTATTCTTACTTTTTTTTTTTGCAGTATACCTACTGCTATTTCTTATCAAATATTCTGGTTTATCAATGTAATGCTTAGTTGACCAAAACAATAAAAATAAGTCAAGAATACATATATATGTATATATGTGCATAAAACGCAGAAGGAAATATATAGACAATAAGTGTCTTTTTTGGACCAGGAACACTGCTCTTTAACCCAATTATTCAAAGCTCACCTTGCAGAAAAAGGGAAACATGATATTTTAAGATTTACTACAAAGAAATGCCTTTGTCATAGCAATAATTAGTATAAAATAACCTTACCAAATATAAGGAAGAAAAAAATGCTATGAAAGGGCAGTCTAGCATTTAACAGCTTCAGCTCTCTTACTCCACCCAGTCTTCTCGGCTCAATGGCTGTTCACAGCATCCACAAATATTAGCCATTTTTTTTAAAAGAAAGTGGGAGGAGGTACTAAACAGGGCTTTCTCCAGCAAATCAACACATACAGAAATATTTTATATGAAAAATTGGGTTCCTTTCTCTGATGTTAAAAAAAAATACCAGCTTTAGATTTGTTTTAGGAAATCTTCCTTTTCAAAACAATCCAAACAATGATCATTTATAACAGAACATGAAAAAATAAATCACCCTAAATACAGATTACTAGTCTGCTTTAACAAAAACCACAATTTGCAACTATCAATTATTTTATGAAAGTGCATCTTGAAAGACACCCATTGGAGACTGAATGCCAGCTAATACCTTAAAACCAAACCAGTATCTTCGAAGTAAAAGCTTTTACTATACATAACATTTTATCACTACCCATGTAAAAAACATTCCTGATTAAGTGACTGAACTCTGCAGCAATCAAGCTCTACTGCAGGGGGGAAAAAATTCAGCAAACACTACTGTGGCATAAGGGGTGGATGACAATATTACTGGTATAAAAGGCCCAAACACTGTCTCCTCCGCCCTAGTCTTAAAAAGATATTCACACAAAACAATCCATCCTCAACAACAGAAATACCAAAATTGGCACAAATTTGTTTAGGCTCTAAAATGTTATGAGTCTTAAGCACTGTAGCCTTAAGTAGAGGCTGGAATAATAGCAATGTATTTTCTAACAATTGCCCCTTAAGGCAAGGGGAGGGGGGTGCTTGGCATGACATCGCCCATCAGAAAGACCACAATTCAAGTTCCTTGTCTTCAAAAGCACTATTTCTTAACCGAAGGACTGCTATGAATGGAATCCAAATCCCAATCTCAAAGGAAAACCTACTACCCTCTCCTCCCTGAGAGTTTCTTGCTAAGTCACTGAAGAAAAGGCAGAATAATAAATAAAGCCAGATACCTCTCTCTTCTAGCTCAGATACTGATAACCTCCTCCTTCTTTCTGCTGTGATGTTTAGAGTCAAAATTTGCCCAACACCTCAAAGGCATTTTCTCACCTGGGAGGCTAAATACATCCAGGTACTGCGTCTCCTAAAGGAGTGGGGAGAAGAGATTAGAGGAAGGGGAACAGCAAAGGACCTCGAACCTCAATGTTAACGTCAAAAGGCAGCTCCCGTGCGAAAAGCGAGCGGTAAGGGAAACCCTGCCGACAGAGAGGGCGGATACTGTAGACAGTGCAGGGGGTCGGAGCCCTCGTCCTTACTGGATGCAGAGGTTGGACCACTGTACCTGGATGCCAGGGAGGTGGCGGGCCATCCTGCTCACATCAACCTCATCCTAAGGACAGGTTGGGGACCGAACACCTGGGAGGCCAGGCGGATGCCCGAGCCCAGGCCTCGAGCTGAAAGCCACGGAGGGGTGGGGACTGCAGAGTTCGCCTCGGTAGCCGGGCAGAGGAGGAAGGCCGAGCCCTTTCCCCACGATCGGAGAGCGACCTGCTTCCCACGCCCTTTCCATCCAAGAATACTTTTCTTGCTAAGTCACCGAGGGAGGAGGCCGATCCCCGTCCGGAGGGCCGCGGAAAGAGTCGCAGTGGTCTCGGCAGCCACCGAGACCGGACCGGGAGGACAGGAGCGAGGGCAGCGCCCTCCCCAGCCAGGCCCCCCTCCTCTGAGCCTCTCACTCAACGGCCGCCGCGGCCGCCATTTTGAGAGCGCTGAGAGAAGAAGAAGGAGGCGGCGGCGGCAGGGGGAGGGGAGAATGGGAGGGAGGGGACCGGCGCAGCCACATCGTCAAGCCGCCGGGCCCGGCCCGCAGCGCCCAAGCGCGGTGAAGGGGACTGAGGGGAGGGCGCAGGCCCTTGGCGCCTTACCGAAGCGCTGCACCGCCGCGTCCGCAGAGCCTCTTCCGTCCTTCACTCCCATCCACCGGCGGGGGAGGGGGGAGGGAGAGGGAAGGGAGGAAGGAGGGAGGGAGGGAAGGAGGGAGGGGGAGGATGGCGCGCTGGGCCCGGTCCCGGGGAGGGGGAAGGGAGGGGAGCGGGCGGGCTCCTCAGCCGTTCCGGGGCTCGAGCCCAAGCCCAGCGCTCGCGGTTTCTCTCGCTCGCGCCCGAGCGCTCCCCTCCTGCTCCTCCTCACTCCCTAAACCCTAGGGCCGCTGCTTGTTCGCCCCCTCAATCGCTATCTCCGCCGCCGGACTCCGCCGCCGCCCCGCCGCTCCAGCTCCGTCAGTCACAGGAGCTGCCCCAGCGCCCTGACGTCACCGCGCCGCCGCCGCCGCCGCCACCGCCGCCGCCGCCGCCCCAGACCCGCCAGGAAGAGGGAGGGGAGCAGAGGAGGGGCTTTGGCGCATGCGTAGGGGCTGCCTTCATCCCGACGGGCGGGACACGGCGGCCAGTGCGGCTTGGCGATACCGAGGGCTCTGTGGACGAGCGTGCGCACGAGGCGCTGCTTTTCTCGCGCCCTCGTGCAGCTGAAACCTTGAAAGACACCCTTTTTTCCTAGACCCTGACTGTGGTGTCCCCTCACGAACTCTGGTCTCGTTCGCACCCTCCCCCGCGCCTTTGCCCTCGTACTGCGCTCTCCCCGCTTCCCCTGCGGGCAGTGGGGACAGTTTGGCGCCCTTGCTTCGCGGGCCCCGCTGGATTCCAGAGTAAGAAAGCCGGAGCCAGGCAGTCGCCCTCCTGACTGCGGCCCACGGTATTATTCCCACCCCGCCAAAAAGAGGGAAGTAGGTTGATTGGCTTGGAATGGAGAACTGTTGAGGTTAAAACTGGCGGATGAAATGACTTCGTTGTCTTGTTTTTCATTATAAATCTTTGATTGGGAGGATTTGCTTTTAGATGTGATTCAGCTATTATTTTCCTTAGTCACACACACCACGAATGAGGGACTCGAAGTCTTGAAACTGACTCCAAAAGAAAGACCTAGAACTTTTTCCCTACAGACAGGGAATGTCCGTGTGTGTGTGTGTGTGTGTGTGTGTGTGTGTGTGTGTGTGTTTGCCAAATTATGGGTTGAAATATTGATGACTACGAAGTCTTGGGGATTTGTAGTCAATTTATTCCACACAGGTTAAGACGCCCAGAATAATTCCACATTGATAAGATGCTTGATTTTTAAAACATCAGATTTAGAACTTTGCATAATTCAATATGATTCTTTACATAAGTATTGAATGAGATTGTTTCATTATTAATTTATGTTGTTCAAAACAGGATTAGGCTTGTATTTACTGATTTTATTCCCTTAGGTAGATAAATACATATACTACATTTGGGAAGCTGCAATGTTAGCATTTCTGGTTTGATTACTGTCCCAACACATGCCAAAAGTGTGACCTTGAGTAAATTAACATACCTCTCTTTGACCTAGATTTCTGTATTAAATAGCAAACCATCATAGAACGCGCCTATAGTCCCATTTACTCAGGTAGCTCAGGAAGATTACAGGAGCCAGGAATTCCTCCCGAGCCTAGAGAAAGTAACAATAGTAAATTGACCTAATAAATAATTAACTTATAAGGCTTTAGTGAGAATTGGAGAGAAGGTGCTGAATATGTGATGTATCTCACCTTAAAGCTCACAGGTGACTCATGTAACTATTTTCATTGCTTGGTACCCAAGTTACCTTTTATCAAGAAACTTCTCCATCCCTGAAGTTTTCAAAAAAGAAATATGAGTCAATCGTTTGGAGGATTTGGGTGTTTACCTTCATAAAGGTAAGAAACTAAATCAATAGTCTTTGGAAGATGTTTTTCCAGGTTTATACTTCTGAAGTTCTCTAAATAGAAATAAAGACAATATGAGGCACAGAGCTTTAGTCTGTGTGGTAGTACTTATACCCAATAACAGTCGATAAACAATAAATTAGTCCTTATAAGAATCTCTTATTTTTGCATTTTAAAATATTTAATATTGCCTGATCCGCTGCTTAATATTTAATCAGTTGAGTAAGTCCTTTACTTTTTTAATGAATGCTTTAAACGTTAACAGAATTGCTTAGAAAAAAATCAGAAGAACATTGATAAATATCAGTGAAATACAAATAGCTACGGCTATCCTCCATGAACCTTGAGCTCACATGTATTTAGAAAACAAGTTTGTATTATGTTGGGCCATGCTTGTTATCGAAGAACTCAACTACATAGCAAGATCCTGTCTCTAAATAAATACCAGGTCCCTTGTGGGGAAGGTAATAAAACTTTCTTGCTGGATATGATCTTTCTGAACAAAAAACTGTATTACATGCTTAACTTGTTTTGGAGGAATATGTTGTGGCTCTATGAACTATCCGTTGCACAATTTAACAATCTCACCATTCATTTGAATTGCAAATCTTTATTTTTCCAGCAGACATTTTCAAAATGAAAACATTTGTTTCAAATGTGGGGGTAAAATTAGTGTTAAGTTAAATAATTTTGCAAATAAACTGACTAGAAGAAACATTCCAAAAATATTGCTATTGGAAAAAGAACAAAATGTCTTCTAAAAGTATCTGCAGAGCAAAAATTTGTTCACAATGAATACAAATGTTAAAAGATTAATTTTGAGAATTGAACTGTTCTTTACAGGCAAACATACATACATTGTTATATGTGCAAGTTTGATAGAAATCAATTAACAAATGTTGAAAAGGAAGCATTTGAGCCTACCAGTTATATGAATCAAAGTCCTAAATATTTAAAGAACTATGACCCAACTGGCAAGGGTCTCACTCTAGAAGATTTTAGCTAATTGGTTTGTATACCTGCATTTTCCCAAAGCATGAATATGTCAGTAAGTATATATCCAACTAGACCGGTCCTCCTCCACCTCACCATCATTATGTCTTATGTGTCATGACCATTGGGAGGCCTTAGAAACAAGGCAGGACATGGTGATGCACTCTGGTGACTGAGGCAGAGAACTGCCATGAGTTTGAGGCCAGCCTGAACTACATATTGAGACCCTGTGTAAAAAAAAGAAGAAACAAATGAAAAGCTGTTAGCAGAGTAAAACTCTCAGCCCCCCTCTAGGACTATTCAAAAGCAGCACTATGTAATTTAAAAACTTTTGTTTTTGTTTTGGGTACCAGGGACCAAACTCATGACCTTGAGCTTGCCAGGCAGATACTTATGCCACTGAGCTAAATCCCTAGACTTGTAATTTGAAAACTTTTAAAAAGATGCACAGCCATATACATATATATGCATATGCATATATATGCACATGTATATTTATTTATTCATTCACGTGCTGACATTTATTCATTAAAGTGCTGACATAAAGAGATATCAGACAGCTGGGGATTTAGCTCAGTGGCATAAGCGCCTGCCTGGCAAGCTCAAAGTCATGAGTTCAATCTCTGGTACCAAAAAAAACAAAAAAGAAAGACAAAAAGATGATTAATTTAGGATGTTACTACATGGACCAGACAGAAGGTAAAATAAACTTCGTTCACTGTTACTGTGTATCTAATGGAGTGAAAGATTAACTCCTACTTGAAGAAGTCTTTATGAAGAAAATAATTTAAAATAGAAAACAGCTAGGGATCAGGTATGGTGGCATAACCCATAATGCCTGCACTTTGAAAAGTTGGGGTAGGGGCTGGAGATTTAGCTCAGCGGCATAAGTGCCTGCCTTGCAGGCAGTCATGAGTTCAATCCCTGGTACCGAAAAAGACAAAAAAAAAAAAAAAAAAGAAAAGTTGGGGTAGGAGGGTAGGAGGATCTCAAAACCAAGGCCAGCCTGGGCAATTCAGCAATTTATCAAGACCCTGTCTCAAATTTTTGAAAAAATGTTTAGAAGGCTTGAGAATGTAACTCACTATGAAGACCCCGGATGTAATCTCTGGGACCTAATTGATTAATTTAAATTTAGAATGCCAGCCGAGTGTGGTAAATATGCCTGTAACCCCAGCACACAAAAGGCTGAGGCAGGAGGAGCATTGCAAGTTTGAGACCAGCCTAAACTGTACAGCGAAACCCTGTCTCAAAAAGACAACAGACAAAAAAATTTTTTAATGCCTAGGGGTAAACCAGGTGTGTGGTGTTGAATGTCTGTAATCCCAGCTACACAGTAGGCTGGAAAACAGCAAGACTGTCTCAAAATTTAAAAGGGGTGGTGGGGCGAGGATATAGCTCAGTGTGAATGTCCTGGATTTAATTCCTACTACTTACCAAAAAATACAAAGGCCAAGGTTGGGCACATAGTTCAGTGGTACAGCTCTTGCCTTCTTGTTTAACATGCATATGGCCCTAGGTTCAATTTCTAGCACCATCATCAAATAAAAATTAAACATGGTAGGATATGGTAGCATATACCTATAATCCCAGCTGTCTGGGATTACAGACAGCTGTAATTGTTCACTGTTATTGTGTATCTAGTGGAGTGAAAGATTAACTCCTACTTGAAAAAGTCTTTATGAAGGAAATGATTTAAAATAGAAAACAACTAGGGATCAGGTGATGCAGGTAAGCCCAGCCTGAACAATTTAACAATATCTGGTGTCAAAATAAAAAAAGTTGGGGATATAGCTAGTGAGAAAGTCCTGGGTTTAATCCCCAGTACTGTAAAAATAAAAAATAATGGGCCAGGGATTTAGCTTAGCAGCATAAGCACCTGCCTGGTAAGCGCAACGTCATGAGTTCGATCCCCAGTACCAATAAATAAATAAATAAAATGTATTTTGACTCTGCCTTTGATCTTAAAAGGATTTTTAAAAAA